CCCACAGCCAGAGGTCAGGCAGTGTCCTCTCAGTCTGAGGTCTGGGGCTCTGTCCCCCACAGCCAGAGGCAGGCCCTTCCAGCTCTTTGTGATTCTCCTGCAGCCTGAGGTTGGGCCCCTCTACCCACCTCCACCTCAGGCTGTGGGGCTGTTGTCCCTCCACCCTGTGTCCACTAGGTGGCACGCCTCATCTAGGGCAGTCGGAGTGGGGCTGGCCAGCCAGATACATTTCCCATCCTCCTTCCCCAGACAGAAACAGAAGGGGAGGGGATGGCGTTTAGGGATGGGGGCCTGAGGCTAGTAGCAGAGGGGAGTTGTTGAAGTAAACAAAATAGAAAACTTTATTGGCCTGGAGTGTGCAGTAGGGGTCTGGCAGGGAAGGCAGGTGGGGGCAGTTTGAGCCCCTTCCAGGGAGTTGGGGTTCACCTCTGCAGTGCAAAGGTCAGTGTAGAACTAAGAGCACGCCGGGGCGGAGTTGTGCTTGGTCTAGAGCGAGGGCCCAGGACCTGCTACTCACACAGCTGCTGGCTCTGCTCTGACCTCCAGCATGTCAGGCATCTCACGTTCCTTCCCCCAGGGCCTCAGTCTTTTCATTTGAACAACAGGCACCCCACAGCTCCCTTTCAGAATGTCAGGATCTATGCAAATGCTCACAGTGCCCGCCCCTGGAAGGCCTGGGCATGATCAAAACCCTTAGATGAGATGAATTCTGTGCCCCCAATTCATACGGTGAAGTCCTGTCGCCCAGTAACCTCAGGATGTGATTAGACTTGGAGACAGGGTCTTGACAGTGAAAATTAGGTAAAATGAGGTCATGAGGGTGGCCCTAATCCAACATGACTGGTGTCCTTATAAGAAGACATTGGGACACAGACACAGAGGGACGACCATGGGAGCACACAGGGAGAAGGTGGCATCTACAAGCCAGGGAGAGAGGCCCCAGGAGAAACCAGCCCTGCTGACATCTTGCTCTCAGGTTTCCAGCCTCCAGAATTGCAAGAGAATCAATTTCCGTTGTTTAAAAGTTGTTTAAAGTCCCTGGGTCTGTGATACTGTGTTATGGCAGTCCGAGTAAAGAAGACAGGTGACGTTGTCGCCACAGCCTCATGCTGCCCCTTGGTCTCCTCCTGGCATGGTAGCGCCCTTCTCCAGGGCACAGGTCTGGTGGGCACAGCTGAGTTCCAGCCCTCACTCTGCCACTGCACAACTGTGTGGCTTTGGTCAAAGCCATGTCACCCCTCGAGGAGGATATTACCTGTCTCATGTTGCTGTTTGAGGACTAAGCCAGCTGATGTATGTAAGTTACTTGGCTCATGCCTGCAGCACTTTTATAACAAGGATTAAGGCTCTGGGATGGTGGTGACCCAGGACAGAGAAGGAAGAGAACTTTCTGGAGAACAGCTGGGTGGTAACTTGGAGTGGATGCTCTGCTTTGGCCCTGGCTGGGCCATGGCCCTGGGGGGTGGGTGGGCAGAGTTGTCCACACTCTCCCTGGGCCTGGACTTATGGCCCACTCTTGGATGGCCAGTTCTGCTGGGGTAGGCTGTCACTTCTGGCCAAGTTCCAGCTGTGTTAGGATGTGGGGTAAAGAATGCCACTTAGGTGCCCTGGTGCTGGGCCTGCCTGGCCAGTTTCCGTAGCTCGTCCCAGAAGAGCATGCTGAGGATGGTGTGGGGGCCCAGGCGCAGGTAGGCAGGGCCCAGGCCCTTGTAGAGAGCAATGGGGCCCTCCTGCCTCCAGATCTTCACCAGGCAGTCAGGGAGACCCCCATACAGCTGGCCCTAGGGACAGAGATGGGGTCGGAGTTACTACAAGGGCCATGGGGCTGTGGTTGGCACAGCTGGGGTTTCTGCATGCTCAGGGCTTCTGCAGGGACATAGGAAAAGGGACTCACCCCCCAGCAGGGCAAATTACAAAAAGCTGTCCCTCTGGGGTATGACATTGGAAAAAGAAGCCTCTGCCTCCTGGCAGCCACAGCCCCATGCCAGAGAGCTTAGCTTGGCTCATGGCACCTGGGCCAGTTTTACCACTAACTCACACCTTTGAACAGGTATATCTGTGAGGGCAGAGTGGTCAGGCCTGGATTCCAATTCTGGTTCTTTCACTTACCAGGTAATGACCTCAGAGAAGTCACTTGATCTCTCTGAGCCTCAGTTTCCTCATCAGGAAAATGAAGCTGGTTGTAAGGACAGGATAAAATTCCATGTGGAAGTGCCTAGCCCGTGCCTGGGACACAGGTGCTCAGCAAACAAGCCCAGTGGGTATGTCTGCAGGCATGTCACAGGCTATGCCTGTGTGTTAGGGTGTGCTCCCAGCACCCCACATCCCCCCACCCCACCCTCACACACCTTGCCAGCTCCATCCACTGGCTGATTGTACAGTCGAGTGCTGGCCACATCGAAGGGGGTCATGACAGCAACCACGGCTACACTGCTGATCATGCCTCCAGCCAGGGCCACCAGCCAGCTATCCTCAGGGAGCCACTGTGGAGAGGGCACAAGCTGCTGACCTCTGCAACTGCCCTCTACCCACCAGCACACGGGGGCTGCAAGGGATGGGGCAAGGGGAACAGAAGAGCCCCTTCAGCATGGCCTCAGCCCACCACCCCCAGCTCCTGTGGAGCTTCAGAGTTCACTGCTGACTCCCTGCTCTTTTTATTTTATTTTATTTTATTTTTTTTTTTTTTGAGACAGAGCCTCAAGCTGTCCCCCTGGGTAGAGTGCCGTGGCATTACAGCTCACAGCAACCTCCAACTCCTGGGCTCAAGCGAGTCTCCTGCCTCCGCCTCCCAAGTAGCTGGGACCACAGGCGCCCGCCACAACGCCCGGCCATTTTTTGGTTGCAGCTGTCATTGTTGTTTGGCGGGTCCGGGCTGGGGATTCGAACCCGCCACCTTAGGTGTACGTGGCTGGCGCCTTAGCCGGTTGAGCTATAGGCCCCGAGCCTTATTTTATTTTTTTTAGAGACAGAGTCTTGCTTTATTGCCCTTGTTAGAGTGCTGTGGCATCACAGCTCACAGCAACCTCCAACTCCTGGGCTTAGGCGATTCTCTTGCCTCAGCCTCCCGAGTAGCTGGGACTACCGACTCCTTGCTCTTGCTGGGCCCGAGGGCTTGGGTCGTGACTAGGACAGATCCAGGGCCCCATCCATTGCCCCTGGCCCTCCCTTTGTGGAAGGAGAAAGGGGACCCTCCTTTCTCCTGAATGTCTGTGTGGGTGGACATAGATGTCCCCAGCCCCTCACCTGTTGCTCCTGCACCCAGGCCTTGGCTGAGGTGAAGGTAGCCAGCTGGGCAGCTGAGCCCACCATGACTCGGGGCACAGCCCCACCCACACCCCGCCACAGCCCTGATGGGCCCTGCTGTCTCCAGATGGTCTCCAAGGCACCCAGGACGCTCTGCAGGGAGAGGGCACGGGGTCACTGGACAGCCCCTGACCAGCCTGAGAGCCTGTCCAGCCCACATAGCCGGGGAGCTCTGGGGAGAGACAGTCCTCACCTGGTGATGGTGCTGGTGTCCCACAGCCATTGCGGCCACTGTCTGGGCCTGTAGCTGTGTTTTGACCTGTGAGAGCAGAAGGGACAGAGAGCTTGAAGGCATCCCCCCATCCCTATGACTCTCAAACCCAGAACTCTGCAATCCCACGCCTGAAGCTTAGTGGGCCTGCAGAATAGGGCTAAGGGTGCGACTATGGAGTCAGCCTACAACTTGCTGTGACTCAGAGCAAGTTACTTAACCTTCTCAAGGCCTCAGTTCTCTTACCCTGGAAAGCTGTTCTGTGGAGTAAGGTACATGACTGTCCAGCACCCCTTAGAACGGTGCACCTTTGCTCAATGACAGCTTTCATTCTTAGCTTATGCAAGGCCGCAGGGAAAGAGAAGTGACCAAGTGGCTAAGCTAGGATTTGAGACCTTGCGCTTGCCACCCTCTGCCCCTCCCCTGGCTCAGGGTCCCTGGGGCAGGGTCCCCAGGGAAGAATGGATCAGGGAAGGCCCTGGAGTCCTAGGCCAACAGGCAGATTCCAGGCAGGGTTGGGATGTTCCAGAGAGCACCCCTACCCAGGAGCCCCTCCCCACCAGATCTATGGAGCTCAGCCCCAGAGCCCACTGGGCCTGGTCATGGGGTAGTAGAAGATGTAGAAGCACTCACCAGGTAAGCGGGGCTCCCCACAAAGGCTCCCAGAGCCCCAGCAACAGCACCTGCAACCATGGTGCCACCTGGCTGCTGGGTGAGGCCAGCCTGACATGCCAGGCTGTAGCAGTAGAAGCGCACACCGTTCATGAGGCCCTGGTACAGCAGGCCAGCGGCCAGCCCCTTCTGCAGGCCCCACAGCCCATCCGCTCGGGCCACAGCGGCAACAGAGGCCACAAAGCCCCGGTAAGGCCGTGGGTAGGTGCCTCGGGCCTGCAGCTCCCCCTGCAGCTGCAGCCGTGTCTTAACCACCTCCAGGGGATTGGTGAAGACACAGGCGAGGCAGCAGGCCGAGGCGCCCAGCACTAGGTCCACAGCTGGGGGCACTGTCTCCGTGGCCTCTATGCCAGAAGCTTGCTGAGCCTGGGTAAGTGGCATGGTATGGGCCCTGGGCTGGTGGCGTTTAGGCTTTCTCTATACCTGAAGTGCCACAGGGTTGGAGGTCCAGGGGGCCTGAGGCCATGTCTAGAGGGGAAGGGGTCCCAGATGGGCAGGCAGGGCACTGGTTGAAAGTCCCTGGTCTATCTATCTACCTGCTCCGCTGAGCTAGCTGCCCAGGGTCTGCCAGTGCCTGGGACACACCCCGGATAGCTCTGACCAATCACAGCTGTCACTATCCCCACACCTCCCGCCCTGGGGCTGGCCTAGACCATGGGATCTGGGGGAAAGTTCACTGGGGGCTGGAGAGAGAGTGGGGGCAGGGAGGAGGCACTGACCAGCCCAGGCACCTCCTCCTGCTCTCCCTCTGGCCCTGGGCGAAGGCCTGTTGTTCCTGCCCTGCCTCACTTCTGACTCAACCTGTCCTGCTCTGGCTCACAGTCCTGGGCACAGAGGAAGTTCTGGGAGGTCCTTGGCCCCGGGTGCTGGGGCAACTTAGCAACTGCCCACCCCCACCCCCTTTTCCCCTTTCAATCTGGGTCCCACAGGCTTTGGTCCCACTCTTGGCAGGAGCAGAGGTAGAGAAGGGCTGAGTTTGGATCCCAGGCTCTTCTGTTACATGTGACCCTGGGTAAGTCACTGCCTCCCTGAGCCCCAGTCTCCTTCATTGTAAAATGGGGCTACTGATGCCCACTTCAGAAGTTTCTTCGGAGACACACAAAAAATATGCCCAGTATGGGGTTCCTACCCAGTAAAAGGTAGCCCATATCCCCTACTGCCTCTGGCTCCTATCACCCATCCCTGAGCCCTGACTTCAGGGCCCTTGGGCGAATCTGGTGACTTCACCTCATGGCTTTAATCACTCAGCTGGTAAGAACTTGCCCCCCCAGGATGCCCTGTCTCATGGAGGGAGCCCCACTTGGGTGGGGCAGGAGGCGCTGCTGCTCTCTGCAAAGGTGACTGGAGCAGGAGAGCTGGTGGGGAGGGAAACACCCTTTGTGTCCAGTCAGCGGGGGAACTCCCACCCTAGGCCCTGCCTACCTTGGCCTCTGCCCCAAGGCAGCTCTCTCCAGCTAGGCCATACTGGCAGAGCTGGCCCAATGGAATCTATCTTGACAGACTCCATACGCACCTCCCTGCCCCAACCCTTTCCTCTAAAACATGACCTTAGGGCACCAGTGCTGAGTAGTTTGAGGGTGGTACCCTCTGGCCATGCCCTGAGAGGACAGCTCAGCAAGAGGCATGAGGACAGCCTGGACTCCTCCAGGTTTGGTCTGAGGGCAGTTGGCACTCTCCCCAAGGCTGTGGAGGCAGGAGCACTCTGCAGGGGCTGGTCAGGCTGGCCAGTGGGCAGCAGTGCCAACAGGCCCTGGGACTGAGCTGATGGCTGCCCCTTTCCTGGTTGGTGCCAAGAAAGTCCCAGGGCCTGAGCACCTGCAGATGTTGAGCCCACTTGGCTGTGGCTATTCTGGTTCCTTGGGTCTGGCACAGAGCAGATGATGAAGGAACATTTGCAGAATGAGGAAAGAAGGGCCTGGGGTGGGTTGGAGACCTCCCTCCCCCTCCCCTGCTTAAAAAGAGCCAGTGACGAGTCTCGGCAATATAACATATCTATTTTATTTTAAAAAACAAAACCCAAATGACCTGACCTCATCCTCAGAGGTTCCTGACAAAGCTCTTGGGAAAGGCCTGGCTCCAGCCAAGCAGGGGACAGTGAGAAGATGTCAGCTGGACACCAGGCTGGTGGGCCCTGCTCCCGTCCAGGGCCCTCTTCCCTACCCTCTGCTCCTGGGTGCTGGGGTAGAGGCAAGGCAGGGCCTGGGCATGCAGGGCCTCCTGGCAGCCTGGGAGGGGCACCCACCCACTGGGGTCTGGTGAGACAGGCAGCTTCGTGTGGGGATGGAGTTAGGAGGAAACATGCACAGACGCCTGGTGTCCTGCATGGCCAGGAGAGTGTTCAAAAACGAACAAGGGTGGCTGGGCGCTCAGGGACCCCAGGCAGCCCTGAGCTTCTGTCCAGGCCCTGACCCAGGAGAGGAAGATGGGGCTCCTGCCCTCCTAGTCCTTTTTCTCCCCCACCGGATCTAGATTTTTGTCATTGCTATTCTGAAGACAGGGCCTGAGGCCCAGGGAGGAAGGGTGCATCCGCAGAGCCCACAGGGCTCAGAAGCCCTGCCCCTGGCAGTCTCCAGTCACCGACCTGTTGGGCAGGATGCCCAAGGGTGCTAAGTACCATTCTGGATCCCTGGGAGTGAAGAGACCCCTGTCTTGAATCACACTTGGTAGTTCTGCCACCTGGGGCAGGGGAGGGCTACAGCTTCTGAGCAGCAGGAGGACACAGCCATGACAGTGCCTGTTGGTAAGCGTGCTTCCCTTTCCTGCCCCAGCAGGGGTGCTGACCAGCCCTGCCTCAGCACCAGGGGTCCCGGGAGGCTCTGCCTCGGCAGAGGCTGTCACTCCGTTGCCAGGCACTGTGGATGAGGCTCAGGGCATCCTCGAATTTCTTCTTGTTAGAAGCTTCCTGAATGGCCTTGTGGGGAAGGTCTACCTGCGTTGGGGGTGTGCAGGGAACGCATGAGGGCCACAGGTCCTGCACTCCCAGGCGGCCACTGGGGCTCTGGGACCCCACCCAGGTCCTACCTTAACCATGGAATCCCAGCTAGGCCCTCCCCTAATGAGCCCCTCCACACCTTTCCTTGGGAATGACTTCCAGCCTCCCAGGCTCTCCTGCTCTTTAAGTAGGGGCTCGAGCTGAAGATAGTTGGTGCTCCCTAAGCCTCCCCCACCCTGGGAGGGCCCCAGCTCCCAGGATGGCCCAAGAAGTCAGTCCTGTACTCTAATCAGCTCTGCATAGGAGAATCTGTTCTGAATGGTTCTACCCCAGGCTAGCCCAGACTTTCCACAGGCTGGAACATGGCCTGTGTTTAAAAACCCACCTTGCCAGGGCTCCATTGAACATTCCCCTTCTCCCATTGGTGTGAAGCTCAGAGGGTGAGGAGTGTGCCCTGCCATTATCACACCCTTACCAGCAGGGCACAGAGCTAGGCCCACCATAAGCACTGACTTCATGCTTTTTGATCAGAACTGAGGTCAGAAATTTCATTTTCTGTGTTCTAGTTTTAGCTTTAGTCTCAGGCTTCCTAGGAGTCAGCCCCTTTGGTTCTAGCATTTTTTGTCTATCCTAGAGCTTCTGCTGTTCCCTGGACCCTAGAGGCAGGACCAGGTCCTGGGAGCAGCCAGGAGGATGTGGGGTTGGGGGACTCCTTCTCCCAGGGAGGGACTCCCACTCTGCAAGGTCTCTGCAGTCTAGGTACCTGATAGATGGTTTTCCACCCAGAATTCAGTGCAGACAGGAATCGGTCCAGTTCAGAAGTGCAGCTCAGGTAGATGACCCAGGGCGGGAGGAGCTGCTGGCTGTCCTGGGAGAACTCCTAGAGAGAGGCAGGCCCCCAGGTTAGTAGAGAGAGCTTTCCTGCTGCCATCCCACCCCCCAAAGTCCCAGCTCACCAAGACACAGTACTCCTTGCCCGGCTCGGTGGAGACAGTGCTGATGTCAGCCAGTTTGGCTGTGCCCAGGGAGCGGAAGAAGCTAGTCTGGCAATCCTCGTGGCACGTGAAGATACGGTCATCGGTGAGGACCAGGCAGCAGGGGATGCAGGGGCTGGGAGCCACCCCCTGGGGGATGACCTGAGGGCATCAGCAGGAGTTGGAGAAAAAGCAGGCTGAGCCTTCCAGGGCTGAGATGTACCAGAGCTCCCCACTCCTGGGACCCAATCAGCCTCTGCCCTCCCTCCAGGGGTCAGGCAGGCTCTGCCCCTCAGGAGCACAGGAGGGGATGAGAGTGACAGTGGGAGTGCTCCAAGCTGCAGGTGGCCCTGAGCTCCAGTGTTCATTCCTGGGTGCCCCCTGGGCTCTGTCTTGTTCCTCACAGGTTGCTCCATGACTGGTATGGATTTGGGGATGGGACCCTGGGGATCCTGGTGGAGCAGAAGGAGCTTACCCCTTTGGACACGGCCTGGCAGAGGTGCTGCATCCAATCAGCCATGTCCGCCTCATTCTCAGCACTCAGCTCTAGGCAGGGCCGGTCAGCGAGAATGACCTGGAAGGCGTGGGGCCGGTCCGTGGTGTTGGATCTCCGGCAGCCACCGCACTGCTCCCCCCTGGGCCAGAGGATGAGGGTGAAATGGGAGCGAGGAGGCAGGGGTGGTGAGGTGGGACCCCCGGGGCTGGCAGACACAGGGCCTGCCCCACAGTGCTGAGAACCGGGGATACCAAAAGGTTCTCTAGACTCCTCTGGCCCACAAAAGAGGTTTCTTCTTTCTGGGTAACACCACTGGTCTCTGGAATTGTCCGGAGCCTTCTAGATACTCAAACATGGGCTCAGTGCCCGTAGCACAGTGGTTATAGTGCCGGCCACATGCACCGAGGCTGGCAGGTTCTAACCCAGCCCGGGCCAGCTAAACAACAACGACAACTGCAACCAAAAAACAGCCAGGCATCGTGACAGGCACCTGTAGTCCCAGTTACTTGGGAGGCTAAGGCAAAAGAATCACTTGAACCCAAGAGTTTGAGATTGTTGTGAGCTGTGATGCCACGGCACTCTACTGAGGGTGACATAGTTGAGACTCTATCTCAAAAAAAAAAAAAAAAAAAAAGAATAGATACTCAAACGTGGCCAGGGAGGAACAATCAGTTCTCAGCTCCGGCCCTTTAGCACCGGTGCCTGTTCATTCGTTCTTCTTCTGATGGGCCCACTGTTCTTTCTAAGGATGCATGTGCCCATCTCCTGTCAGGCCGGGAGCATCCGGGAAGCACCTGCCTCCCCTCTTAGACTGGTCCCCTTCCAGGCAAGGAGCTCCTTGCTGCTTCCTTCCTCCCCTCTTTTGGCTCCTTGAAAGCCTCAGAGGGTACCAAACCCTAGTTCCCCAGTAGGGCTGTTGGATGGGTGGGGCTGGGATGGAGAGGCTGAGGTGATAGTCATTGCAAACTAAGGAAAACAAGAGCTCTTAGCCCACGCTCAGCTGAGCTTGACCTTCAGGCAGCATTCCTCAAGTCTGGGGACACTCACCCCATATTCACTGAGAGCAGAGGGATGACATCAGTGCGGTCGGGATACTGGTAGAGGATCCCGTTGCTGT